ACCTCATACAGCTGATTAGATGACAGGATCAGTATGCAAAGTAATCCTGACAGTAGTCTGAAGCTGACACGATGAAATTTAGGAGGCATAAATGTAAAGTCCAACACTTGGGTTCAAAAAAATCAGCTGAACAAGATAGGACGGCCAAGGTGTGACTAGAAAACCCGCTAAAGCCCAGTCATTTGCTTGTATCAAACAGATTTAAAAAAAATAATTCCTTTTCATTTGCCAAAAATTTAACAAATGTGTATTGAACTGAAGAGGTACACGTGATTTTCTGGGTCTCTCAGAGTCTTTATTTCTGAAGTCCCTGACTAGTACTATCTCAGCATTGTAGATAAAACCCTTCCACACAGTGATTTCTTACTAAGACCTTGGGAAAATAAAGCTGATTGGAAATGGGGAGGGAGGGGGTTTCTAGTCTAGAAAGATATGCCTATTGAGAAGTAGGTTAGGAATGGGGAAGAGAGAAGCAGACTTCCTTCCATGTTGGTCCTTGAGGTTGAGATGACATGGTGCCCTGGCACTTGGGACAAATGGAGAGGGCTCCATTGCTGATTGATTCAGGGGCTCAAGTCCTTATGTAATATATTCAGAGGGCCAAGTCAGTAACTAAGGAATGTGCTTTCCATATAAAGCTGTACCTGGTAGGATCAGGGAATCACAGAGCTAAAGTTAGAAAGGGAATTCAGCGGCCAAAGTGTCCAAGGCATGTGACGACACTGAGAAGTTAAGTGACTTGTCCAAGGTCATGCAGGTGGTTATGGTGGTCAGTGGTCCTCTGGGAGCAGGATTGGTGAAATGTTTTAATCTGTGCTTTACATGGCAGGCAGAGCCTTCTTCAATACCGATTTCAAGTTATTGAAAGTTTAATAAGCAGGAGATCCTTGGATTGTCATAGGCTCATGTAAGAATTCTCCTTCAGAGTGGTCAGCTTTCTAAAGGAGTTACATAATTTTAGAGTAGGAGAGGTAAATGGAAACCCTGTTATGGAGGATTTGAGATAACTGAAGGCTAAGGCATTTTTTCCAAATGCAATAAGGTGACACAGGAGATGTTTGAACAAGTGAGTGATGTGATTAAACCTGTGTTTTGGGTATATAAATTTGAGCAACTGTGTGGATTATGGATTGGGAAGTGGAGAAACTAGAAGCATGAAAATCAGTTGGGAGGTTATTTGCTATAGTCTAGGTAAAAGGGAATAATGATGATGATGATAATGATGATGACAGTCAGTATTTATATAGCAATTTTAAGCTTTGCAAAAAGCTTTAGATATAATAGCATCTGAGAGATAAGTGCTATTATTATTCACATCTTACAAATAGGGAAATTGAGGCTGAGATGTCAAATGATTTACTCATAGTCACTCAAATAGCAAATGTCTGTCTGAGACAAAATTCAAACCTATCTTCCTGACTCTAAGGCCAGAACTCTATTTACTATTTTCCATTCACTTAATCAATATCTGCCTCAGTTTCCCCATCTATAAAATGGGGATAATAATAGCACCTACCTCTCAGGGTTGCTGTGAGGAGCAAATGATATAATATTTTTAAAATGTTTTTACAAACTTTAAGGTGCTATATAAATGCTATCTAAATTCTACCAATTATTATTACTATTATTGTACCACTGTTATGATGATACTTCTGTATTCCAGTTCCAGAAGATGGAAACCTGTTTTATCTCTCTATGTTGAACCCTTGTTCTCTAGTATTACATCTCCTTTGTGTGTGGACCTTTGTCTCCTGCTTGCTGCCAGCCCCTCAACTGCCTCGTTTTTTCTCGCTCTTTACCTTTCTTCTTTATAAATTACTCATTTTACCTATTCGAGCTCCTTGATCTTAGGAGCCCCTTCTTTGAGTCTCCCTATTCCCCCCCTTCCATCCTCCCTCCATCCCCATGAGGAATTCCAAAGCTCTAGGACCTTGCTGAGTTTCTAATAACTAAGAAAGAGGCACCAAGGAGAGAAAGCTGTCTAATTATCACAAGTCAAGTTTTTCAAATGCAGTGTTTCTGATGTTCTTTTGTACACAGTTCACCATAAGATGTTTGCTGGGCATCACGGGGGCTCCGCCATATTGTCTGATGTTCCATGGCCTTGCAAATGGACTCCTTTGACTCTGGTATTCCCAGCTGTTTCCTGTATTCAGTGGGCTGGCTTCGCCCCTACGCAATTTGCCTCTTGAAAGGCTGGCCTGTTCTGCAAAGGTTTATTAATCTTGATTTAATGTATTCATATTAGAAAAATGTAACAACAAAAGAATAAAGCTTATGTAGGCAACACAAGTCCCCCTGGGTGTTCAATCTATATTACTCATAGCAATGCAAAGCAAAAATGGCAAGTTATATTAGCTAAGTTCAGAATACAAAAGGCAATATTAATTTCATAGGATGTGTAAAAAGATATGCAAATGTGAACAACTCCCAAGAAAACAGTGCAATATAATACTGCAGGCTTTGAAATTATGCAGTTTCATAAGCACTTGTTAGAAACATCACTTGCATAATATATATATATATTAAAAGCAAGTTGCTTTTCGTCATGCAGGCATTCTCAAGAGCAGTTTTCTTTTCCTAAGCTTTATGAACCTGGGGCAGGATGATTGGGGTTTGAAAAGCTGTAGATTTGCTTCCAAATGTCCACTTATTCTTTGTAAAACTGAGCTAGCTTCACACAATTATTCCACTTTGCTGTTTTCCAATTAAAAGCATAATCCATTTCCTATGATTTCATCCTATTTGGCTGAAGTCTGAAGTTCACGTATCTGAGGCTGAGTCTTCATCTAATTAACCACTTATGAAAGAGTGATTTGGGGATGATGGTGACTTAATTTCCCTCCTAAGTTTCCCTTGTCTCCCCCATTAGAATATAAGCTCTTTGAGGACAAGCTCTTTTTTGTCTTTGTAGACTCAATGTCTAACAAAGTACCTGGCACCTAATAGCTGCTTATTAAATACTTGTTGATTGATTGACTAGTGATTTGCAAACAACCCTGAAATTTCAAAACCAATATCCATCCCTACTCATTTAGACCTCTAAATGCTTGTGGGTCTCATTAATTTGAATAGTAAAATAAAAGGAGTAGGCTCCCTCCTAGAGTTACCTCTGATGTGTGAATCTTTTAGAGCCTCAGTTTCCTCACCTGTAAGATGAAGATAAGATTACTTATAGTCCTCACATCACAAGGTTGCTGTGAAAGTGTGATGAGATAGTAAGTATAAAGTGCTTTCTAAATCTTAAACTGCTATGTAAATGTCAACTCTTAATATCACCATCATCATCATCATCTCTTCCTTTATTATTGTTATTCATATCATCTTTTTGGATTTCAGATAGAATTCAGATAGAAATGGTCCTGAGACAAGTGGCTGTCTTGCTATTATTATTTTATTTTAATGTACTGCAGACTATTGCATAAGCAGCTGAAATAATTGGGTTTTTTTGTAATTGAATAAAAATCGTGGCATATAAGATCTTTCTCTTACTTTGCTGAGTTTCTTCAAACTCTCAAATTCTGTGATTCTGTGATCATTATCACCTCCCTCCAAGGCTGCTGTCAGTAAAGTAAGAAAGAAACGAGTTATTTTTCAACCTGCTTTACCATGTGCTTTCTGTATGGGGACTCTGTTTTCATTTGAGACCACAACTGAACATGGTAGCTAAATGGAAGAGGATATATGTTTCAAAGCTGGACTTCGTTTCAGTTGTGTCGAGACGGAATTTTTCAAAAGGAGGGGAAGAATGGTTAAGCCTTTTAGTGAATTGCAGAATCTCAGCACTAGAAGGGACCTTGGTGGCCGTCCAGACTAACTTGTACTTTATGAGGCTTGTAATCCGGCCTTGGCATGATGATGCCCAGGGAAGAAGACCACGCTGCTTTGGGAGAGCTCCAACCACAGTGAAGTTTTTCCTTACATTGAATCACGGTCTGATTTTTAGTCACTTCCACACATTGGGCCTGGTTATACTGTCTGAGGCCAAGGAGAATACATCTAAAGCCTCTTCCCCAAAGCATCTTTTTAGGGTCTTAAAGGCGGCTCCAATGTGTTCGCCTATGTTTTCTTTACACCATGTGAAGCAATTGGGCTTTCCTTTAGGTAAATCTGATATATGTTAATATAAGATGTTACAAAATAATTGAGCAAAGGCAGTGATAGTTTGCAATTATTATGATAATAATGATAATGATGATAGCATTTGTATAGTGTCTTGAGATTGGTAAACTGTTTTATAAATACTATTTCATTTGATCCTCACAACCCTGGGAAGCAGGTGTTATTATTATTCCCATTTTACAGGTGAGGAAACAGAGACAGAAAGACGTTGAATGACTTGCCCAGGGTCATGTGTCATAAATTGGATTGTGTCAGAAGCTGGATTTGAACTCAGGTCTTCCTGCCTCCAAACCCAGAGTTCTTATCCACTGTGCTTCCAATACAAACACGGTACCTCCTAATGTAGAAATTCACTAAAAGTTTAGTAGTTTAGGCTTAATTTGAAGATCACTGGAGTATAGAGGACAAGTGAACTGGGACCCTTAAAAATTAAACATGTTAAGTAAACTCTTTAAATGTAGAGGCAATTCTTTTTATTTGTCTTTGAATTTCTAATGCATAATCAATGCTTATTGATATATATATAATATGTGCACATATATAATATATTGCACATAGACACATGGATAAATATATAATATATGTATATATAGAGAGAGAACTTATTTAGTATATACTTTTATGTGTACCCATAGTGTTCTCCTCCCCACAGCAGAATATAAACTCCTTGAGAGCAGAAAGCAGTTTGCTGTATATTTTTGTATCCCCAGCACCCAGAAAATTGTGTTTGACACACAGTAGACTGTAAATTTTTGTGACATTAACTTTATTAGGAATTGAAGGTGCATCAGAAATAATTGTACAGTGTCTGCGAGTCCACCGTTCATCAGACAAGTAGGAACTCACCCAAGACCCTCCTTTTTATGCTTCTGTTGCAGAGTGAATTGTAGTTGAATTACCAAACTTCTCCATTTTCTGGTGACCACAGTGACTTTGGATATTCGCACTCCCAAGACTAGGTGAGTCTTCCTTTAAGAAAAATTCAAATTGATTCCCTGGTCCCAGCTATCTTCTGGAACTTGCTACATTATCCGCCCACTGGACAGCTACTCTCTGCTCTCTGGATGAAACTTGAATAATGAGGGGCAGGATTGGCATTTGCCATTCTTCCACACTCATCTGGCTTCATGCGCTCCATTCCCCCTGCAGATGAACGTATACTGCATTTGTGTAGACAGAGCGTGGTTGGCTGGTCTTGTTTGATGGAGAGGTAGGGCAGCTGCTTGAAGGAGATGTGCTCTGCCCTTGGTGCTGAATACCCTTTGATAGTAAGATCTGAAATGGAGCCTCATGGAACTTAGCGTGTGCTAATGTTTGACTGTTATCCCAGTATATCCCTTTTCAACCAGGTCTGTTACGTGGGAGGAATGACCAAATGCCAGCTTTTGCTGACTATCCATATCGCATACTGACTATAAAGTCAAGTGAGCTGGGTATGGTGGGGAACTCGGTCAGCTAGGGAAGTGGGAGGTTTTCAAGATGGATTTGTTTGATTTCAGTGTAACCATGCATTCCAAGGAAATAAGGGGAAGGGTTGGGATGCTTGGCTAGATGGGACCATGATTGGACAGCAGAGAGAAGGCTGGGCCATTCAGTGTTCATTTTACTTCCAAGGAGAGCGTCCTTCAGACAGGAAAGGGAAGAACAAAATGACTAACAGGGACTTGACCCCCGCAGTACACCTAGCAGCCAGCTTAGATGATCTCCATCCGTGGAAGGAAGAAAGCATTTATTTAGCACTATTTAGCTGGGTACCTTTGTGAATCTGGCACACGGTAAGTGCTAACATCGAACTTTTCCCCTTGTGGTGCGGTAGAAAGGGCACTGGGTTGGTACCAAAATTAGCTGGATTAAAATTTAGCTTTGGCCATTCAATTGTGTGCTCTCAGGCAAATTACATGATTTCTCTGGGCTCCTGTTTCCTTATCTGTAAGATGGAGAAATTGGACTAAGTCATTTTAAGTTCTCTTCCTACTCTAGATCTCTGATCCCATGAATCTGTGTTCTCCAGTAGAGTTAGAGAAATTGATTTAAAACAAGGAGAAATTTGCAAAGTAGGGAGCTGACCTAATCACTTTCGACTGGGAACAAATATTCAATGACTTGTCTATTGACAGAGATCACGGGATCATAAGATCATCAATCTGGACCTATAAGGGCCCTCAGAGGTCAATCTGTTCCAACACTTTCATCTTACAAATGAGGAAACGGAGGGCCAAAGAGATCAAAGTCACACATGACTCCTAGGGGGCAGAGTCAGGATTCGAATTCAAGTCCTGTGATTCTCAAGTTCGATGTACTCTTCTCTGTACTCACTTTAGAAAGTGGAAAATATCCAGGGCAGTTATTTCAACATATATTTGTTAAATACCTACTACATACAAATCAACTTAACTGGAATTTTTAAAGTGTCTACCATGTGCCGAGCATTGTTCTAGGCCTCAGGGATGCAGGCCTTACCCTCACGGAGCTTCAGTCTTCCTGAAGACTGACGTACCAAGGGAGGCACATGAACTTTTGATTTTCCTTTCAGCAAGTTCCCAGTTTAAAAAAAAATAATAATTTTTTCACTCTAATTTAAATATGTATTTTTTTTGCTTTTGAAAAGAATTCTGCAGCTTGAGATCATGCATTATTTCTCTTGATCTGAATCCATGGTGATATTTTTCTTAGGGCCATTGTTTGCATGTGTATTCATCTCAGAAACATTACTTGCTCCTACTTTGTGTTTCTCACCCCTATATTTGTAATGACACAATAATTATGGGAAATATCAGAGGATTTCAGGCATAAACAGTGGCTTTTCAAGTTCTTTTCATGAATATTGGATTCATTTTCTTATTAATATTAGCCCCTTGCCAAGACTTCTGAACGTTTGTGATTTATATAGCAAGTGTCCTGGGGAGGGAGGGTGGGGTGCTTGATTCAATCCTTTACGTGGCGTGAAGCCCACTGCTGGTAATCTATGACTATAAATGTCTTTTGACGCCCAATAGTGGGTTAGATGTTTGCTGGTCTGCTCCAGGTGAAGTAATACCATTTTCAATTTGAAGAATAAAATACCTGTAGCTTTCTGCCACTAGTCCTATATATTATTTAAATTTTTTTTCATTCCATGCATCTTATGATAAAAACGTCATCCCCCATCCTTTTTGATGATCTTAGAACCATGTACCTTTTAAGAGTTAGAAGAGTATCCAACACTCATCTGGTCCAAGCCATCCCTGAATAAGAATCTGTACCACCACACATGACAGAGGGTCATCCCTTTTTTAGAGACATCCAGTAAAAATGAGGCCGCTACCTACTCCAGTAACCCACTTTACTTTGAGACAGCTCTAAGGTTACAAAAGATTTCCTGACCTCCAAACTCCATTTACCTCTTCTGCTGATCATAGTTATCAAGTGAAATTAATGCTGGCATGTATCAGGAGTCTTAATGTCTATCTTTAGGCATGGTGCTTCACCTGATTGCAGTAGGTTTGACTTTTAATTCTCTCTTCTATCTTCCACTTGAGAGATGACAAGGAACATTGTGTAGAGAGCTGGCCATGCAACTGGAAAGAGCTGACTTCAGATTTTGTCTCTGACATGTACTAGCCAAGTGGTTATTTAAGCTGTTCTCACAAACACCATAGAGAAGAACTATCCAGTTGTATCATAGCACATTTCCCCACACCAAAACAATAAGGCATTTGGACGCCCTCTATTTGCCTCCTCCCCAAATTTTAGAAAACTAACCTTATATTACAAGAGGGCTATTAAATTATAACAGCAATAAAAAAAAATATGCTTTGTAGTCCTTATGTCACAGTGGAGGAAAATAGAGTTTCCAGGAGGAAGGCTGGACTTTGCTTGACCAAACCAAGAGGAGCATCCCAACATCCCATCATCCTTTACCCAAGAGAAATTGACGTGGAGGTAGCTTTATCCGGTAAGAGAGAAGCTCGTGGGACGATTCCCATAATGGCTTGTCTTCTGTCCCCCTCTGCCAACACTAGAGTTTTCTCCTGCCTCCCTCCTTTCAGTGGTGACTCTGGCCCTTTCCCAAGTACCAGCTTTCGTTGCCTTGTTGAGCAAGGGCATTCCCTCACTCTCCTTTATGTTTGATAAATGGAGGCGTCTAGCATTACCTGTGGACTAAACCAACCGAGGCATGTTTTTGTTTGTCTTAGAAGATCTTCCAGGAAAATGTGCATTCAGATTTAATTCAGAAGAATCACAGGCATGGATTAGTTTAGATTTATCCAAATAAAAACCGGTGACTCTGTGACCACAAGAATAAAGGGTCAACATAGGAGATAAGCAAACACGCTTAGGAGTCCTGGCAAAAGGCTATGGATTTTCCTTTTTCAAAATTGAAAATGCTAGGGCCAGCTAGGTGGCCCAGTGGATAGAGCACCGGCCCTGGATTTAGGAGGACCTGAGTTCAAATCTGGCCTCAGACACATAACAGTTACTGTAGCTGTGTGACCCTGGGCAAGTCACTTAAACCCATTGCCTAGCAAAAAACAAACAAACAAACAAACAAATGAAACAAAACAAAATTGAAAATGCTATCACTGCTTTTAGGATGGATCAGTAAGAACTTGGTGCACGTGTACTGGGAACCAAAAACTCATTATTGGTATCCATAAAGAGGGAGGGGGGCACGCTGGTGTAGCACAGGCTGAGTCTGGAGTCCAAGGCTTCAGCTTCAAATCTCAGCTTGACTACATGCTCCCTTGGGGAAGTCAAACAATGCCCAGGGCTTCTGGGGTCTCTCTCTCCTTCTCTCTCTCCTTCCCCTCCATTGTTTCTCTTTCTCTCTCTCTCTCTCTCTCTCTCTCTCTCTCTCTCTCTCCCTCTCTCCCCCCCCTCTCTTATTCTCTTTCACAATTGGGGTTAAGTGACTTGTCCAGGGTCACACAGCTAGTCAGTATCTGGTGCTCTATCTGCTATGCCACCTAGCGACCCTTGGAACCTCTCGTAAAATGAGGGGTTGAGCCAGATGACCCCTTTGTGGTCTTGATTTCTGGAAGGAGCCCGGTGCGAGGCAGTGTTGGCTTTGGGGTCAGGGGACCTGAACTCAAAGCTTGGCTCTGCAGCCTCAGGGATTCTTCTGACCTTTCTCAGCCTTACATTTTTTAATAGCTGCAAGGGGTGTGATGGACAGAGCACTGGCCTTGTAGTCAGGAAGACCTGAATTCGAATCTGGCCTCAGATACTTACTAGCTACGTGATGTTGGGCAAGTCACTAAATCTCTGTCTGCTTTAGGTTCCTCATGTGTAAAATTGGGGTAACAATAATAGCATCTACCTTCCAGGGTCCTTGTGAGAATAAAGTGAGATAATATTTTTCAAGTGTTCTGCAAACCATTGAGTGCTACAGAAATGCTAGCTATAAAAATAATGATAATAATGATAATTATTATGATCATTAACTATAAAATGAGGGGGTTGGTCCAGATAGCCTCAAAAGCTCCTTTAAATTTCTGGTACTTTCTCAATGGGTGACCATGGACAAGTTATTTCATTTCTTCAAGGCTGTTTCTTTGGTTTGAAAATGGGTATAATAATACCTTTAGTGCCTACCTACCTCACAGGGTTATTGCAATATGGCAAGTATTTTAAAATCTTTTTAAAAACTCCACTTCTCTTATATGTTAGAGCTGGAAAGAAATAGAGGAAAAGGAAAGGGATAAACATGTTTATAGTACCTACTATGTGCCAGTAACTGTGTAAAACACTTTCTGATCTTCACAACAACCCTGAGAGGTAGGTATTATTAGTGTCCTCATTTTACAGATGATGAAACTGAGACAGAGGTTAAATGACTTGCCCAGGGTCCCACAGCTACTGGGAATTTGAATTTAATTTTTCCTGATTCCAGGCCCAGTACTGTGTACACTGTGGTATCAGCAGCCTCTGTTCTTAGAGAGAGCATCTCATCCAATATACTCATTTCATAGATGAGAAA